TGAAGACTCCCTCCCTGCCCGCCCGCCCTCGGCCCCCCACAGGCTAGGACAGCATCAACACTTTGCCTCTGGGATTTGGCCTGAGTCTTCTTCGCCCCGACAGCGACTCTGCCAAGCCTCAAGCCATATATCCGGGACATGTAGCTGGAATGCTCTGAAGACTCCAGTCTGGGCGGGACAGGGTTAACAATTTTTTTCTGAACCCTGTGGGGGGACCCGTGATGCTGAGGGTGGTGAGTATGTCACTATGCAAAGGCCCTGAGACTCTGTATTGGGCTCTTCCGCAGCCTGCCCAGGGCCCACCCAGATGCCTGCCTCTGGGGCTATCTTTCTCTGCTTCTGGCTTTTCTGTTGGAGTCTTTGGTCCTTTCCCCCTAGGCCACACCACATTAGTGTCATTTGAGGATTTTGGCAACTCATGGGCCTTGGAGTGATCTTGATTTTTTTTTTTTTCTTTTCTTTTTTTTTTTTTTTTTTCTTCTTGTTTTGGAATGATCTTGAACCTTTATGTTCAGCCAGAGCCTCTGCCCTGGTGGGTCTGGGAATGGAATCCCGAAGGTGCCCTTAGATCCACTTCTGCCTGTCATTGTCTTTTAAAGACTCCCAACTTGGGGTCAAGAGTTTATACCTGGGTATAGGGGTGCAGCTACACCTGGCTTTGGGACCATTTACCCTCAGGCACCCCAGCACCATGGGGATCCTCAGAAGAAATAACCAGATCTCTACTCATTCCCAACATGGCATAAAACATGGCATTCCTCCTGGGCTCTCCCTGGCATTGGGAGGGCATTCTGCACATTTCACTAGGGTCCAAACAAAGGGCCAGGCCTCAGGGGTCATGCAGCTCTGTTAGGTCAGCCTGCCCAATTTCTATTAATAAAGTTCTGTTGACAGCTCTAACTGTGTGGTCCTTGCAGGTGCCAGCAGGTGGTCAGCTTGCTTTTCCCTCAGGGTCTTTTGAGACTGGCTAGAGTAAAGAGTGGATTGCTGAGCTCTGGGGGTGGGGATTGGGTGGCTGGCGATGCAGAAAGGAAAGCCCCCAGCAAGCCTGGCTGCTTCATGCTCACCCTTCTGACCAGCCCTGCCATCACCCTTCTGGAGCAGCCTTCTCTTAAATGCTTGTGATCGGAATGTGAACTTGTCCCTGTAGCCAGCTCTTCCTGTGTTCCTGTTGGTGCCACTCTTTCCAGGAGGGCACAGCAGAGCCTGCTGCCTAGAGGCCAGTCTGCCCTTTGAGTCCTGGAGGAGCTGGTGTTTGCTTTTTGGTTTTGGTTTGTTAGTTTTTTGGTGTTTTTTTTTTTTTTTCTTTTTTGAAACAGGGTTTTTCTGTGTAGCCCTGGCTGTCGAGGAACTCTGTAAATAAGGCTGGCCTTGAACTCACAGAGGTCCACCTAAGTTTGCCTCTGCTAGGATTAAAGGCGTGTGCTACCACACCCTGTGTGGTCCTTGTCATTTTTTGTGTCTTGGTACAGGGCCTGGTACTGTGATGGGCAGGAGTGTGGGACCCTTTGCTAGAGTTGTGAGCTGGAGCCTAGAGGCCTATGCAGGAAACACAGGAAGCCTAGAGTCCTTTGATACAGCTGCCCTCCCAGGGCTAGCAGGAAATTAGGGGCACACCCCCATAATTTTATGTTACATGTAGAAGCACAGTGTCTGAGACTGTCTTCTGGATGAGGGAGGGGAGGCAGGGTCCTGAAGGAGGTGAGGTCCCTCCACTCTGCTTTGGGAGGTTGAGCAATTGGTGTTAGCAAACCTCGGTATGTTTGTTAGTCATTAGTCTGAGCTTGCTAAGCTGAGTGTGACAGGAGGTGAGCTCTCAAGGGGCCTGTGGCCAGCCTCAGACTTTATGGCTTGGCCCACCCAAGCTGTGCCATCACAGTGGAGACAAGTTCTCCATTTTAGGATCCGAGGCCTGTGGCAGGGCTTGCACCCCACTCCCCCACACCCCAGGGGCTGAGAAGGGCGAAGCCTGGCTCCTTCCAGTCTCTGTTTAATGTGGAGGATAAACATTTTATTAGGGAAGATAAACTTCCTGGGCTGGGGGCCAAGGACCTCCTTTTCTTCCACTCCCATCTGGAGTTCTTTGTGCAGACTTTAATATCCTTTCCCCTAACCACCTTAGAAGCTCCGACCTTAAACCGTTGTTGCAGTCTGGAGCTTCGTCTCCCCCTTGTGGTCATCGTTGGAACTACTTGTCTCTGGGTGGGGGTGACCCCAATTGCTTTTCAGTTATCTAAGAAAGCAGGTATCTTTATCCACTATCTGGCAGGCAATGAGGGCAGCCATGATAAAAATTCTGTGGGGTTTTTTTTTTTTTTTTTTTTTTTTATACCATACAGTGGAAGCTCTCAGTTGGTTTCGCATCTCTGAATTAGAAAAATGTGTCTCTCTTTCTAGGTGGTCATAGCCCTAAATCAGAAGGGCAACCCCCACTCAGGCAACCCTGCTCAGCATCTACATAACTGGGTGCCTGTGGAGCCAATATTCTAGCTCTGCTTGCCTGTATCTCTGCCTCAAGTCTCCGTCCAACCCAGGAACCCTCCTGCTGTGGATCCTCAGAAGAAAGGCAGAAGCCAGTGGGAGGTTTTTAGGTTTATTAAGTGACCTCTGAGAAAAAGTCTGGCCCTGGGAGCAGGAGAGGTGGAGGCAAGGACCTAGAGGGGGCACAGTACTAGGAAGGGAGTATCCCACCTTGGAATCCTGGGCCAGGATCCCACAGTTGCCAGCCTAGCACATTCTAACGTCCCGGGCAGAAACCCAGCTCATCTTGACCTCAGCTGCCCAACTTGACCTCAGACAGCCTGTCTCCTTTCCTCGATAGCAGTGGGACCGGGGGTGGTTCTCTCTCTTCCCTAGTCACTCACAATAGTCCAGGGGGCCAGCCCTCCTGGTGTGCGCCTGTCAGTGTCATGCCCTCTTCTAGGAGCAAGTGCCAGCTCCCAGTTCACTGTATTTTAAGCAAAGACTGGGGAGCTGTGCCAGTCAGAATAGACGAGAAATCCAGAGAAGGTGCTGTCTGTCTTGATGCTGGCATAGATGCCAATGTAATCACCCACGCCCACCTGCACCCACACCTGGTCCTCAGGTTCCAGCCTTACCATAGCCCCCCCTGAGAGCGAGGCTGGCTTGGGCCACCCCCCGAAAAACTGGAAGAAAGAGGCGATGGACTGGCCATTTTTGACAAGGTCGAACTGCAGGCTGGCCCGGTAGACGGTGGCGTGGACGGCGAAGTAGTAGACGCCAGGCACTTGGCAGGTGAACTTGCCCGTGGTGGCATCGTAGTGGCCCTGCTCATTCAGCAGCACGCGGTCGAACGGCAGGGGTGTGTCGGCCGGCGGAGGCACCCGGCTCTCCGAGCGCTTGGCACTGAAGGCTGACCGAGGGGGCACCGAGCACTCTCCAGCAGGCCCCATAGCCCCCACCGGACCTGCCTCTCCACGCGGCCCGGGCTCCCCACGTGGCCCGGGCAGTCCTGCACGGGGTAGAGAGGGGAGGGGGAGAAATCATGAGCTACAGCCGAGTGCAGGAGGGTAGACTCCATTGACTATCTAAGCCTCCCAGCCTCCCTGGCTATTGCCTCCTGCCGGGAGCAGATCTGAAGGGCTGAGAGTAGAGGGATCAGGGTTTCTGCCTCTCTGAGGCTGACTCACCCTCTCCAACCCGCAGCCCATCTCGCCCCCCGCCCCCGGCCAACTGGAATGGGGAGAGTAGCGCCCCCTGGTGGGACCCTGGAACCCTAAAGAATCTACCAGAGCGGCCGCCGGTGCTCAGTAGGACGTCCCCATGCACTGCAGCGAGGATGACTTCTTACCCGGCCTCCCGCCCTCGCCTTTCTCGCCCGGAGCTCCGGGGGCACCGTCGCGGCCATCGCGGCCATCGCGGCCAGGCAGGCCTTGGCTGCCATGGTGACCTGGTGTGCCTGGAAGGCCGGGCTGCCCGGGACACAGGCTGGGGATCTTGTTGTCATCCAGTGGAGGAGAGCCTGACACCAGCCCCAGAAGCAGCAGGGCAAGAAGTGACCTCATGGTGGTGACTGCGAAGACCCAGACGCCAGGATCCTCTTGGAGTCTGTAGGCTGGGCAGGACTAGATTTGAAACCCCCAATCTTGAGACCCACCTCGCGCCCCACCCAGGTGTAACCCGGCAGCTCCCCGCCCACAAACATGCCTCAGGGGCCGAGCGCAGTGAGACAGGATGAAGACGGAGGTGCCCCAGAGCAAGAACTGGGAAAGGAGAAACAAGCCACCCCCACCTTGCCCCCTAGCTGGCGCCCGAGCTTTCCCACAGTCCCCTCCCCCACCCATCTTCCTCCTCTGCCAGACTCACCCCCTCCAGGCTCCCCAGCTCCCCCAGCTGCTCGCTCTGAATGGCTTCTTCAGACCCTCCAGCTGGCCCTGCTCCCACTCCTACCCCGACTAGGCAGCCCCTGCCTTTGCTGACTGACTCCCAGCTTCTGGCTGCTCCTTGCCGGCTCCCTTGCTCCTCCCAGACTCCTAGAGGAAACCAGTTGTTCAGGGGCCAAGAGCTCCGGGGCTGGGAAATAGCAGGGAAATAACTCGTGGTGTCGCCCGGCGGCCGGCCAAAGTTGTGGGGTTGAAGGGGGTGTGGAGAAAGGAGGAGGAGGGAGACTTGAGCCTGCATTACAGGGAAGCTGAACTGTGAGGCAGACACTTAGGGCTCCAGTCCCCAGGAGCTGGAGGAAGGGAAGGATGGGTCAGTCGTAGAGACCAAGGTCGAGACTGGCGTGTGGGGGTGGGATGAATGAGAGCCAGCTGGACCGCCAGGCTTAGATTAGGTTCCCACCACTCCAGTGGCTCTCAGTACAGCTTTGTTGACAAAATGAAAACGCTGAAGGTCAGGTGACAGTGAACTTAAATACTCAAATGGAAAGGGGGGAGGCAGAAGACAGGGAATCAGGGTCAGAGACTTGGGTAGGAAGTCGGCTAGGCCGTCCAATGTCCCCGTATGGAGCCTGGCCACCGCCTAAGGCTGTCTGGGCAGGTAAGAGCACAGAGGGACAGGGAAGATGTGGTAGTCCCATCAGGGCTGGAGCTGGTCCTCCTCCTCCCTGGGAAGCACCAGAGAGGATGCGCAGAGTCCCATGTCTGTCCCTCTTCCCTCTGTTTTCTGCCTGCGCAGCACCCATGTAGGTAGAGGAGGATGGGCAGATGGAGGGCGGGGCTGGCTTCAGGTCAGGGCTGGGAACAAGCTTCCAGGCTAGCTGCCTCAGGCAGCCTGTTGCAGTTGAAGGGCCAGGGGGTGCCCAGTAGCGCCAGGCTCGACTGGCACTGTTGCTCTGCCTCCTGGCAGACAGAGCGGCAAGGGGGTAGAATAGTGCCCAGTGGGGTGCAGTAGGGTACAAGCAGCCCGCAAAGGAACCTCCGGAAATTCTGGTAGCAGGGTAGCCTTGTCAGACTCTGTGGGAGGAAGAGACAGCCCTCAGGTGTCTGGTCCCCGCGCACCCACCCCTTCCTGTGGCCTCCCTCCTCTCTGTCCCCGCACCTTGTAGCCTCTGAGGATGTCTACCACCTCTGCCTGGGTGGCCGGGCCCATCCAGATGTTAGGGAAGGCTGTGTTACTGTAGCTTAACCCAAAGCACATCTCCACCTGGACAGGTTCACAGGCCAGCTCTGAAAGGGGGTGGGGTGGGAGGGAGGCTGTGTCACTGTACGGGACAAGACACTATCTGGCTCTGGGTCACTGTTTCCACATGGGTCCTATGGACTTCCATCCTGAGTATCCTAAGAGGCTGCCACAGAAGGGTTTCATGCACCCCAAGGAGCCTGCGTCTGTCACCCTGTGCATCAGGTAAGGCCCCTCTGGGGACCACTTCTCTCATGTGATCTGTGAAGTGGGCTGTGGAGAAGGACTCTGACAATGTAGATTAAGTCTCAATCCCTACCACTGACTGCCACATTCCCATGTCCCTTTCAGATGACACTAGTGTACAATGTCGCCACCAGCAGAGAGTCTCGCCAAGACTCTGTGAAGTGGTCCCAGGATGAGAAGAGAGAGGCCCAGCCATGAATTTATTCAGGAGGAAGGAAAGGGAGGTGAGAAAAGTGTGGTAGAGGAAGCAGCCTGTTCTGGCCAGCACAACTTGCTCAGGGTAAGGCTCCTTACCTGGTTGTGGGAACAAGTGGCTGCTGCAATTGTCATTGCTGTCATTTGCACAGCCTCTCCACAAGTCACACATCCATTGCAGGTCCCCACACCCTCCATTCTGGCAGAACTCTCTGGGCCCACAAAGGTCTGTAGATACAGGAGCATGACAATGCCCTAGGACATGCATGTACCCACTGCCCTTGAGGGTTCCCCTTAATGTTCCTCGGAGGAGCCTCTGTTGCTCACCCCTACCTGTCCAGGGGCACCTACTCTCTGTAGTGTTGATGGCCTGGTAGGTGGCATAGAAGCCCCCACTGCTGATACCAAGATCCGTCTTGAAGATTACAGCCAGCTGGTGCTGCGAGGAGCTGAGGTGGGGTGGTGGCTCTGCTCCACAGAACCTGCCCAGTGCAGAAAAATATCCTGGGCACAGGCCACTGGCCAGCCCTGGAGGCTCTGAGCTAGGTTCTTGGCCATGTCAGGGGTTCCGGGGAACAAGATTGCTAATTCTTGGGGCTTAGGGGGAAGGAGGCACATGCTATTTGTTACAAAAAGTAGGAGATGACTTCTTAAACTTGAGGCACTCTGAGATGAGGAGAGTCAGGGAAGAGAGGGGAAGGCAAAGGTCATTACAGGTGGGAAGAATAGGGCTAAAGCAACAGCAGAAGTGAAGGCCCACCATGGGGAGGGAGAGCACATGCTGATTCAGGATGCCAGTGAAGGGAGCTCTGATTTATAGAGCAGCTGAAGACAGTGAAGCTGGAGATTCACTTGAACCTAGCATGGGGACCCTGGCCTGCTGGCTGGGGGATGGGTTGCCCACCACTCTTGTCCTGATTAATACCTGCCCAGGAGGCTGAAGGCCCCTGAACCGCCAACTTCATACACCTCCACGTAGTCAAACTTGCACTCAGCCTGTGCCTCCAGGCTGAAGTTGTGGAACTGTAGTCCTATGCCGTATCCCACGGGCACCGAGATGTGCCATGTGCAAAGCTGGGGGAGGATATCCATGAGAGAACTCACAGGGACCTTCACCTCCTCCAGCCTGGACACACAGGGGTCTTCTTTGCCCAGAGCAGACCAGGCAGGGTGTGAGTGGCTGTTTCCTACCTCACCTTCCATCATTGGTGCCTCTTAAAATAGGAAGGGTCAATCAGGCATAGTGGCTTACCCCTGTAATCCCAGTGCTTGGAAGCAGAGTCAAGGTGAGCTCAAGCTCTATGTCAAGTTTCATAGCAGCCTCCTGAGCTACATACAGAGAGTGTCTCTAGAGGCCAAGGTTCAGGGATGGATGTAAAGAGCTTGTCTGGCATGCACAAGACCCTGGGGTTGACCCTCAGCATGGAGAAACAGAAAAACAAAACAAAAAAATCCCAGCAGGTGTGGGGTAGGGGAGGAAGGGGTAGTGCACACCTGTAGTTCCAGGCAGAAGCAGGTGGATCTATGTGAGCTCCAGGCCAGCCACGGCTACATAGTGAGATCACCCTGTCTCAAAACAAAACCCCAGGCCTGGCATGGTGGCACATACCTATAGTCCAAGCACCCAGGAAGCTGGGGCAGGAGGATTCTCACCAGTCACAAGATCAGCATGGGCTGCAGAGTGAGGCCTTGTCTCTTTATAAATAAGTGCCTTTTCAAATTGTTTGGTCTCAGAAACATGTGTTTACCCAGCACACCTGAAATACCTGGTATACAGTTGGTGCTTACCAAGGTCTTTTTCTGGCCTGCATAAACTGTTTTTACCAAATACATTGCCTGGCATACTGTTCCCAGGTGCTCTTGGTGTCTCCTGGGTCCCACACCAGTTCCCAAGGCCACTGCACTTACCTGATGATTAGGATACTGCTGTGGGTAGTTGGGAGAAGAGAACACCCCGTGGGGCCCAGTCAGGTTCCCTCCACATCCTGTAGAGAAGCCAAACGGCACATGGGTGGCCAGGCAAGAACATTTTGGGTCAGAGCAGGGGATCGCAGCCTGAACCTGGGACAGAAGCCTGAAGATGTGCCTGTCCTGTCTGTCGCTGGGCCCGTACCCACGGTCTCAGCACTGCAGTTGGTCTCATCGCTGCCGTCGGCACAGTTGGTAATACCATCACATACTAAGTCATGCTTCAGGCAGAGGAGCAGGTCACAGCGGAACTCATTGTGGGCACAGCTCCCTGGAGAAGGGCACAAAGCATCTGGAGTCAGAACCCCCCTGGCATTTCCATCCCCTTTTGCCAGTTCCAGGAGTGGCTGAAGGGGAAGTAGCTGGGGACATGGGGCGAAGTCACTTACAATGTCCAGGGGCCACAGCTTGGTACCAGGCCTGGAAACCAGACCCTTCCACATCATTGTCAGAGACGAAGGACACACGAAGGCGGCTGGTGTTGGTGTTCAGTGTGGCAGGAGGCGTTTTGCCACACACCCTGTGGAAAGCCAGGTAGGGGTGATGGAATCTCTGAACTCAGGTAAGAAACAGATCAGAGAGGCAAGCAACTTTTCCTAGGCCACACAACAGGGTACTGGCAAGGGAGGCACCAGAGGTCAATTCTGTTAATTTTCTTCTAGTCCACATTTTTGCTTCAGCTTCTAGTTTCTCTACCCTTTAGACAAGTGGGATCCCCTTTAGGCAGAGGGACCCACCTGAGGAGAGGGCCAGCAGGCTCTGGGATAATTTCCAAGCGATCGAAAAGACAGGAGAATACGCTTTCTATGCTGAGGGCTTGAATTTTGAGCTGTATCGTCTGGCCTGTGGCTACCTGGATATGCCAGACACAGTGGCTGTGGGGTGGGTAAAGGTCTGGGTAGTTGGGGCTGCTGAAGAAACCTCTTGGACCAGGAAGGAGGCCTCCACAGGCTGCAGGAGATGGAGGCAAGAGCTCAGAGGTCACTAGGAGAGAGGCCTTTCCCCCACATGCAAGGTTCCTTTTCCAAGCTTTTCCTCCCCACTGCCATCTTAGGCTTTCTCCAGAGAGTGCCCTTAGGACTCACTGGTCTGGCGTGTAGGGTTCAAGGCTGCCTCCTGCTGCCCTGTGGTTGCTGGGGAGGTGGTGAGGATGGTAGTGTTGATGTTAGGGGTGGCGCTGGGAATGCTGCCCATGGGGGCGAGACCCCGGTTGGGCAGTGGGCTCTCGGTAGTCCTGGGGAGGGTTGTAGCCTGCAACTCTGAGGGCAGGAGGATAGAACAGTGTACATTTAGAGGAGCAGGTCCCAGGGGTTTGGCTGAATAACTCAGGCTCTGCATGGAAAGCCCTCCCAAGCCCTTACGAGCCAGGATGACAGCCACCAGCAGCCCCAGCAGCAGGAGCAGCAGGCCGCTGAGCAGCAGGATGCAGAGCCAGGAGAAGTGGCAGTCTGGTTGAAGCCCCCGGAGATGCTGTCCTGCAAGGACACAGTGGACGTCTGAGTGGCAACCCTGCCTGGGGCATCCCTCCCGCCTTAGTTCCTGGGCTCCCTCTATGGCCAAGCAACCCCTGATGGTTAGTTACCATGCCAGGGAGTTTGGTGGCTGCTGCTGGCATCTTTCTGTAAGGCTGGTGGAGGGCAAGAAGGCCCTGCTTCAGGGTCGAAAACGGGATTGCAGAACTCTGTCTGGAATGGAAGGCGGAGGCTTATGAGCTGGGACAGGCAGCTTCACTGGGGACATGGGATTTTGGAAGGTGAGTTCCATGTGGGTCTTACCTTGCTCAACTCAGTTGCTTCCGGACAGAGGACGACATCGGAATAGTCCTTCATGGCTTAAGATTCTGCATGGCTATCTGGAGATCCTGTGACAGCTCAAGACCCCTGAGAGTCCTCTTCCTGGTCACAAGTCACTTATCAAAAAAGTGACCTTTGCTCTCAGAGGGACAAGGCTGTCAGGAGAGACCAGTTCTCTGGTTGCCTTTGGCAGAATGGTTGGGGCTCCAGGCTACTCTGTCTCCACATGGGGGAGGGAACTGAGGCGAGAAGGAATTTATAAAAGGCACGGAATGGTCCTTAATCCAACTCAGCTGAGGATGCTGAGGTCAAGACCCTGGCACTGAGCAGCAGTCCTTAAAGGCACAGGCAGTGGCTGTGGACACCAGCAGAGAGAGTGGGGTGCTCTGTGGACTATGGTTAGGGGAGTTGCCATGCCCCTCCTCCTCACCCAAGGTATGGAAGGAGCTCCTGGGCAACTGCGGGTGGAGATCATGGCTGCAGGGCAGGCCTTGGCTGGCACCTCAGGTGAAGAGAGACAGGCAGGGTAGCAAGCACACTAGGCAGGGCTGTCTTCTAAGGGTCACAGGGTTAGCAGCCCACCACTTCTCCTCATCTGAGTGGCAAATATTAGCTAAACCTGAACTCTCGGAAGAAGCTGCTCCTTCACCCCTGGCTTTTTGTTTGTTTGTGAGATAGTCTCATATTGTCCAGGATAGCTTTGAACTTTTTATATAGGCAAGAATGGCTGTGAACATTTTTGTGTACACACACACACACGCACATACACAATTATATATCAACGTCTCTCACTTGAACCCAGAGATTGCTTGATTCTGTTTGTCCAGCAAACTTGTCCAGCCTACTCCAGGGATCACAGATGGGGCCGCCACACCTGACTGGCACTCACAGCATTTCCGTGAGTGCTGAACATCTGAGCAGTAAGTGTTTTACCCATTAAGCCATTTCCTCAGTAGGACCTGGAGCTCCTGAGCCTGTCTATTCCCCCTGGTGCAGGGGCTGAACCCTTTGTGCATGTTATGTCAGTACTCTACGGACTGAACAGCTTCAACTCTATTTTGTTGTTGTTGTATTATTGTTGCTGTTTTGTTTTGAGACAGGGTCTCTCTCTCTCTGTTGAAGCTAGCCTCAACCTTGAAGCCATCCTCTTGCCTCATTCTCCCTGCTGTTGATAGTGAGTTTTCACATCTGCCTGGGAGAGGCCCCCGTTATATCCATCATCTATGTTACAAGAACGAGGGAAAAAGCACAGGAGGCATGGCGTGAGATTGAGGGGTTGGCCCCACCGTCCGGGTCCTCAAGCCTGCAGGAGGAAGGACAGGTGGGAGAGGGTGCCTGACCTAGTGGGCAGGTTGGATGTGGAGTCTGGCTGTTGGTCCTGGTTGCTGTTGTGGAGTAAAAAGGTGTGTCCCATCCCAGCCTGGCACAGCTGTTCCAGGGAGAAAGGCAAGGGACTGCCAGTCTGTCTTGTTTCATCACAGTGACAGGAAGGGCTGAGAGACTGGAGATAACTTCATATCCCTAGCAATGTATAATGTCTGTGATGCTTCAGGCCCCGGGGAAGAGGCCTTACATATATATTTTTTCTTCTTCTCCTTTTGTGCATAACTCAGTGAGATAGCATAACCATTTTACAAAAGACGGTATTAAGGTTCTGAGATGTTAAGTAACTTCCCCAAGGTCAGACAGCTGAAAAATAAAGAGATGCATTAAAACAGAGCATGTGTTTTGTTTGGGATACAACCTATGAGGGGGTAAAGCCAAATTAGGAGACCAGACAGATCCTAGGAGGGGCAGACAGATCCATGATCCTAAGATCCTGTGATCCTGAGTCTCTGTACTCAGGAAAGAAGCCTTTGTCCAAGTTCTCCCTCTGCCCTCTCTGAGGCCTGCCTTCTTCTTCTTGGACTCTTTTCATGGAGCCCAGCAGCGCTGGTCTTTAGGGAAGGCCATCTTTGGTAGCTGTAGGGACAAGTGTCTTGAAGAGATTATGAGAGGCATTCTTTGGCCGCAAGTCTTTGCCTATTCTCTCGTTGGACCACACTGAGTAGTATCCCTAGCTATGGAAAGAGTTTGGAATAGCTGAGCATGGTAAAGCACACTTTTAATCCCAGCACTTGGGAAGCAGAGGCAGGCAGATCTCTGTGAGTTTGGGGCCAGGCCTAGTCTACAGAGTGAACTCCAGGACAGCCAAGGCTACACAGAGAAACCCTCAAAATAGGGGAGAAGGGAGAGAGAGAGAGAGAGAGATTGAGAGAGAATGGACTAGAACCCACAGACTGGCTGCACTGGTCCGCGATGAATGTGCGCATGGTGCGTTTGGGGGGCTGAACCCCTGGATGTGACTATTCACTGGAGGCTGCAGGTATCAGGCTTGGCTGGGTGATGAAGTGTAATGGAAGTTTTGATTTCTTTAAAAACTCACTTATGTAAATATGTTTTTGTTTGTCCACAGCTGATAATTGCCTCCTGCAGGGTAGGGTCTTTGCCAGCTAGGAACAGCCTGACTCTTGCAGCATGAAGAGGGGCGTGGTCTAGGACCCTGAGGGATAGAGAGAAAGTGTGGCATGTGGTGTGTGGCAGTTTGGAGATCCTGGAGAAGGATATCATGGCTGCTAAGACAGATGGAGAGAAATGCAGTGGCTTGGAGGAGGCTGCTTGCTGTGTTTGCTGTTGATGGAGATTGGTGTAGGCTCTCAGAACCCATCGACCCTGACCAGCCAGGAGAAGTAAAGGGATCTGCGCCTCCTCTCCCCACTAACCTTCTTTCTTATCTAGGGTTGAGGGGTTGGAAAAGAGAGGCTTTAAGGAACCCCAAAATGAGTGCAACAATGAGGTGGGATGATGGAGCTGGTCACTGTCACCTTAGTAGCACATGACTTAGCAAGAGCAGTTTCAAAGTGGGGCTCAGAGACTCCTCTTCTCCACTCCCAACTCAGACCGGATAGGATTTATTACAGCTGTGACTTAGTGAGGGGGGGGAGGATATAGGACAGCACCATGGAAGCCCTCTGTGTATAGGGCTCATCACTGGTCCAGGGGACCATGACTAGCCCCACAGCCATCAGCAGCCATGTCTCAGCTACCATGTCTTCCAGTTCACCCATGTTAGGCTTAGTGAAGCTGCCCTTGGAGATATGAGTCTTCTGGCAGGCAAGGGACTTGAACTTGGCTCTGTGGATGGGTCAGATGACCTGGCCACAGCCTGGGGCGCTTCCAAAAGGCACCCATATACCTATCTGAAGCCAAGGCTAGGGACAACATTGACACCAGAGGAATGAAGACCACTCGAAAAGCATCTGTAAGGTCCTGAGGGTAACCCGTGTAATCTACGAAGGAGGTGGCTATCCCAGAAGCCATTGCATCTTCTTTCTTTTTAACTTTTTGTTTGTTTGAGACATGGTCTTTTATTTAGGTATATGTGTATGTGACTGCACCACGTACGTGCAGATGCCTATGGAGACCAGAAGAGTGTCTCTCCCTGGATTCCAGGGATTGAATTTAAGTTGCCAGGCTCCGTGGCAAGGGCCCTTACTTGCTGAACTATCATGCCAACACAGTTCTAATAAAAGACTGCATTCTTCTCTAATAGTGCATAATTAGGTAGTAATATTATCCAGTAAAAGACGTGTGTGTCTCTTCACATGAGTACACATGCAGGTGTGAGTGAGGAAGTCACAGGTCGGCTTTCAAGAGCCAGCTCTGTTCTTCCACTGTGGGGGCTGAACTCTGGCCCACGGGATTTTGCAGTGCATGCCGTTAAGTGTCCACTGAGCACCTCTCTGGCCGCAAGCTGCTGCTTGTCAGATAGTTGGCCACAGCAATGAGAACCTGCTGTGTGCCACACTTTCTAACCGGCCTCATGATGAGTTGGTGTTATCACAATCGGCTTAGAGACAGGAAACTGGGTTTCGAGAGGTTAAGTCATCTTGAGCTGCAATTGCTGGCCACCTCCTCCTGCCCTTTGCAACCCACACAGGTGGTTGTTTGTGTCCACGAGAGTTGAAGGGTAGGGACCCTTGGAAGTGTCCAGCTCAGCTAGACAGGGCTCAGCTAGATCATGCTGGCTTGGCTGCCGGGCCTGTGTGCACGTTACATGGCTGTTCCGTTCAGTTCCTGATAGAGTAGGAAAATTCTGCCAAGAGTCGGGCCAAATGCTGTCATCAATTAAACCAAAAGGCCAAAAGGCTTCAGATGGTACAAGAACTAGGTGGGATCCATGCTGGCACATCGAGGTGGTGTAGCAGTTGATGGATCTTGAGTCCTCAGTACCCTTACTGTCAACGACAGGACGGATGAGGTGGCCTCTAAGGTCCCAACTCTAAACATTCAAAAAAAAAAAAAAAAAAAAAAAAAAAAAAAAAAAAAGAATTGGGCTAAGCATTGGTCAATCAAAAGTTAATTCTGAGGCTGGAGAACTGGCTAGTACTGTACCAAATCCCCAATATAAGATCTGTCCCTGCATTTGTTATTGCTTCGGTAAGAGCACATGCTACAAAACCCATGGCTTGAATTTGATTCCTGAAACTGACATGGTGGAAGAAGGGAGCTCTCAAAAAAGTTCCATGCACACAATACAGTGTACACACACTGTCCTCCTAGAATAAGTAGATGTAAACAAACAAACCCCAAACCCCTAAGCTGGGCCAGGAAACCATGTGTGTATGAGTCCCAATTCAAATGTGTACTTGGAAGAAAAAAATGACTTAGGATGAAAATACCTGAGCAGAGACCTTCAGTTGGATGAGGCCTGGAGGCCTGCAGAGGAGAGGCACCTTTTCAAGGTCACAGCAGCAAAGGCAGCACCTCCTCTCAGGGAGCGCCTGCGGGAACACCAGCTAAGGACGGGTGAAATAATCCAAGTTGCTAGGAGGCGAAGCAGATCACAAAGAAATGCAGTGATAGACCTGCTTGTGTTTGGGGTTTGCAGCAGTACTGGGGACTGTTGCCATGGGAATGAGATGGCTAAACAGAAAGGAAAGCTGCCAGCAAGGGCAAGGGCTTGACTGAGTCCCTGGTTTGTTGCTATCTGTCCTCTGGAGAACAAAATGCACGGGGTGGCTTC